GTACTTCGATGATAAGGCAAAGCACAAGCACCTCAAAAAGTCAGATGCCAAAATTATGTTGAAGGTTTGGAGTTAACTGCTCTAAAAAATAAATTTTGTGAGTATTTTTTGTGGGGCTACTAAAACATAAGCAATCAAGTACAGAGGCATCGAATTGCATTTAAATGTATTGTGAGCATAGGCGTATAACGTCTCTAAGTGTTGTTACACTCGTTTCTTTTGTTTTGAAATGAAAAAAATATAGTTGCTTTATGAGTGTCAGTTGTCATTATTTTAGTAAATCCTAGGATAAAAGTAGGGATACCTATATGAAAAATTAAGCAAAGCTGTTGGAAACAAAATTTGTGATGTGTTTTGATGGGTCACTATGTCACTGGCAGATGGACGGGTGGAGAGTTGGGGCAAATGTTATCCTCCCCTTGTGGTGCCCGAAATCGACGAAAATTTAAGTTTTTTACGAAAATAAAAAAGCAGCTAACGCTTTATGAGGAAAAGGATGTTTAAAACTGCACAGTAATGCGTAAAGGCCGCCCCACACTGGACCTCGCATGCGGGTACCGAGTTTAGTCGGGTTTTCGGGCTTCTTCAAAATCAAATAATACAATCTAAGCTGAGTGACCCACACTGCCATCTAACAAGCAAGTCTGCATGTTTTTAGCTTGCGATCGACCTTGCATCGCATTCCAAAAGTTTATTTTGAGTCAATTTTCGATTTTCCTCGCTGCGAGGTCTGCGAGTTCTGCGAAGTTTGCGTGTTTTTCGTTGGAGTCAAATTTTGGCTCGTTGCGCTGGTATTGCGACTATATGTAATTTTCTAAATGTGTACCGGCTTCACTGCATCATTGAAGTTACCATAAGGGAAGTCTAATCACTCTATGCATTAGTATTATGGCCGCAAACTCAAAACCCGCAAACTTGCAACACGCATCCTAGGTCCAGTGTGGGGCGGCCTCAAAAGGAATCGAGCTCCATTGATTTTTTAATTTAGAGCATTTTGGGGGATGTCCTCTCTCCACAGCGTACTAGAGCCTTTTCTGGATGCGTCAGTACACTAATACGTTATTTTATAGGTGGATAAAAAAACGCTCTCGGACACTACGGGGTAACCCGACCAAAAAGGTTTCTTCAAATGAAGAAAGGTCCTCGAATGTGATTCCTTATGCACTGTTGAGCAGATTAAAGAAAACGTTTTCTTAATAAAAATTGTTAAGTGTCTTTCTATTGTATAAAAAGGCGAATTTTCTTAGATTTTAGGCGTGGGAAAAGCATTTACCCTGGGAACGCCCTGAACCTACCTGCAGTGCGCTGTTTGTGCCATATCATTGCATGTTACAAATCATAAGTTACAAATCAGATATCTGAATCTACGGATTTGCCCTTGCGTCTATAAATAAACTTCCAACATATGGGCATTTTACCACTTTATCATTAGCACTATGCATTGCATTGAATTCCAGATACCAATAAATTCCCAAACGTTTCATTTGAACCATTTAAGCCTAGGCGAACTCATTTTGTGGGATTTCCGGTTGTTGAATCTGTGTAGGAATCTAAAAAGGTTCCACTTACTTGGCTCAAGCCCGTGGAGTTGGGTGGGTCACAGTTCACCGTGAATGGTAGCAATATCGGATCCCGGTGCCGGAAAGCGTCGGGGAATATCGGTCCTGGCTGGTTTATACACCACGTGGGGATGTAAAATAACCGCTCTGCCCCCGACCGAGTCCAATCCCGGTCAGTGCTTAGTGGACCGCGAGTACTGCCTTGATCACAAAACATCGCCCACATGGCTTTACCAGGGGTCAACCGATTTTGGTTATACGTTATGAGCCATCCTAGCCATGGTCTATGCTCGGGGCTGGGTGGGTGTGGTCAAGGGTTGAGTATGATGGTACGCGATACTTTATTCGTCTTATCATGATCTCTTGTTAACCCGCGCCGTGCTGGGGGGGGCGTTTTTACGCCCCCCCCCTCAGGTTTTTCGCGAATATCTCAAAAACGGCGGCGCGCAGCGCCGCCGTTTTTGGTACACGTGTTCCTACATCATTTCCGCACATGTTGTAAAAATTTCAGACCTAGGCCGTTCAAGGTCAGGTCACCAGGTCACGTCAAGTGACCTTACCTCAGAAAAAGTTCAAAGGCTCGCTATAGCTACACCGACTGAACGATCACTTTGAAACTTTCAGCGATTGATATGAGTAACAGTATGTATAAAATGTATATCTCGGATTTTTGATATCTGTGACCTAAGGTCAGGTCAATTTTGCGACCTCTCCATTATAAGTCAATGGGAGAAAATTGAAATGCGCCTCTTTTGGACGAATATCGTTCAAAACGCTCTCAAACATCGGTTCATAGGTAAACATGACACACTGAATAGGAAAAATGCACCTGTGACCCCTCTGTGTGCCCCTGAGGTCATCTCAGGTCATGAACGGTCGCCAGCAGTTTTTTGGCTATAACTTTTGATAGAGACGTGCTAGAGCGGTGAAAACACGTCAGATGTGTTCAGCTCGACGATACGGATCGACTGATATGCAACATGACCCTTTTCGGTCAGGTCATGACCTTGACCTGAGGTCAAATTTTCAAAATGACCTTTCAAGGTCAACGAATAGTTCATTCGACGCGTCTCGACGAGAGGAACACGATGCTGGCAAAAGTAATGTCATGGCGCTTATGAGTCAAAAGTTATTGACGAAAAAAACGTTTTTCGTAAAAACGGCTATTTTTGGAGTTTTTGCCCTCTGGAGGCTAAACCGTTGACCTGAGGTCAAATCTGAGAACATTACTCAGAAAGGTCTGTAAAAGGGCTATCGAATGCGCTTTTCCGCGGCGCTGTAGCTCTATCGGTTCCCGAGATAGCCGTTGGCAGTTTCCAAAATGTTGAAATAGTCAACATTTTACCTTTGGTGACCTCTGGTGACCTGACCTTTGACCTGACCCAAAAAATGACCGAAGTGTTTTCGTCCTTATTTTTGACGCTCTTTCGATTGCCGCTTACCGCGTGTCGCTACGTGGCCCAGGAGCCGAGTTAGACGGGGGGGGGCGTGAAAACGCCCCCCCCCCCCAGCACTCGGCGGAAAGTTCAGGCCACCAGCACGGCGCGGGTTAATTGCTGTATCCTATTTATTCCAACTCTACCATTCAAGTGGATTTATCGTAAAAAAGATAATTTGGCCAACGCTGTCTGAGTTTGGAAGTTGTCAATTTTTCCACATCACCCTTCCATTTTACCCACCGAGATCACAACAAATGTGATATTTTCGTCTCTTTCTTCCGCATTTTCAAAACACCAACTAACGGAAATTGACCAATCTCGACGAAATCGCTTTGCCATCAAATAAACAACCTCCTCTCTCTCCGAAACCGATGTCGTTCCGACGACTGCGTTACCCCTCCCCCTCGCACGCAGGGGAGGGGGTGCCGTCGGGGACGATCACCCGCCAATGTCTTTTCGTTTTGCGCCGGAATCGACAGTAGCCCGAGGCGTCGCCAGCGGCGGGGGTAGTCCGTCGATAGGCGCGCCGCGCGGTGGCACGGTGATCAGCACTGCCGGCGATGGCCGGGTAAGACATGGTCCAATAATGCGCGGCCCGGAAGGGGATGAGACTGTTGACAAAGCAGGACGGCGGGAGACGCGCCGGGCGGCAACAGCGCTGATGAGATGCGCGTACTTGTGTCAACCTGATACGGTCTGATATGAGAGGTATTTTCGTGGCCAGATTGATTGCCCACGCCTAACACGCCACTCCATACGAACAAGTATTTTGGGGACGCATTATTTTTTTTGTTGAAATTAGCAAGGGAAGTTCAAATAAAGCAAACTAGCCACATAAAAAGGAAATAATTAGTAAACATGAAATGCTTCATGCTGTGACAACCCATCTTCTTTTTACATGTTTTGGAGGCAGCGTGCTCGGAAGGCGGCTTTACCCACAATCCCAAATTCACAATCCCAAATCCACAACCACAATCCCACAATCCACTGTCCCCTCCGTGGCCGAGTGGATTAAAGCGCCGGAAATCGACGCTTAGCCAGTAGTGAGAGCCCGGTTCAAGCCCCGGTGCGGGCGGCCACATTTAGCTCCTACGTGTAATGGCGTGCGTGTCTGTGGCAGGGGCCGCACAGAAGCCAGGTAACGTGAGTGAGCGGAGGGGGCCGTGTCCAGTCGTGAGGGCACGTAAAACGTTCGGACAAAATTCTGCCATACAACTGGAATTGCGCGATCGGGTGGTGGGGTCAGGGTCAGCACAACAAGCTATGGCTTAGTGCGGGCTCTGATTCCTCAAATCCACCCATTCAACCATTCGGACTAAATTTATAAAAAAGTATTTAAAAAAAAATTATGTTCAGTGAATACTACCAAATTATGATGGGTGCCGAGTAACCAAAATATGGTAATTCGGCATACATTGATTATCGTGCATTTTTACAACGATTTCCAACAGGTTTACACGATAAGGTCAACAGAGCATCAGGTAATATAAACAGAAGATTTATACCTTCCATAGGGTATGATCTTTAGAAATATGTATCTTGCCTATAGATTGTTTCCGTATCGCCACTATCCCATTGTTACCGGTGTATAGTTAAAAATGGCGCCGGTCAACAAGAGAAATTGCCGTACTCAGAGTTCAGGCGAGGTTTTCAAGATGGTGCCGCCATAGCGCCGCTTTTTATCCTACCGTGCTTAGAGTGCGGCCGGAGGCGCCGTATAATACGCGTGGCAGTTACAACAAAGTTTTAAATCTAGTAGGACGGTAACGCTGCTTCCGTTCATAATATCTGCATTTTTTTTTGTGGGAGATTGGAAAGGCACAAAAACATGAATACGACTGCATAATCTTCTGAATTGTTAGACAATATTGATATTCACTTATTGACATTAAAACAACATAAGCCTGTAAATGAAATGGTCAGGCACCAAATCAAGAGCATCAAGAAAATATTGCCTTGAAATATGTTCACCGTAAAAGCCAAGGCAATAAAAATCGAATGTCTGAACGAAATACGATGACCTCACCCAAGACAGCGCACTAGTGTTCAAGAACCGCCAGAGCTGCCCCTCGGCGAGGGATTGACTCGGCGTCGCCGGGAGACCTGCCGCCATGGAGTGGGGTCTGGCCGACCCGCGGCTGGCCCGCTCGGCCTCGCTGCCCTCTCTGGTGGGCGGCGGGCTGAGCTGCGTCGGGCTCGACTCGGGACTGGACTCGGAGGCGGCCAGCGAGGCGGGGGGCTGTCGGCGGCCGGCGCGGCCCTGCTCGCGGCGAACCGTCACCGCCACCATGGCGCAGAACTACTACCCGGAGGGCGGCTGGGGCTGGGTGGTAGTGCTCTGCCACGCGCTCTCCAACCTACTGGTGCACGGCCTGCAGGGCAGCTACGGCGTGCTGGCCGGACCGGCCCAGCAGGAGTTCAGGCCCACGGCCGCCGCCCTCGGTGAGTTGGCAAAGGACAGGGGAGGGTACCGGGTCAGAAAAGACACTGAGGTAGAGAGCACTGAGCCAGTGAAGGCTGGGTCAGGAACGACCAGGGAGGCGAGAATACTGAGGAAGGGTAGAAGGCCAGGGAGGACGCTTGGGAAAGGGAGGACAGTGACACCCGGTCAGAGGAGGACACAAGAATGGGTGGGCACCCTGAGCTAGAAGACATCGGGCGAGGGAGGACACAGGGCCAGAAAGGACTCTGGGCCAGGGAGGACACAAAATCCTCATTAGCCAGAGGAGGGCTGACGGAAAGTAACTCAACGTGCTTATTATCTCGACGCTTTATATTGAAGCGTGACAACATCTGTCGATGTTCTAATGTTCATGATGTTCCGAGGATTATCGAAGCTTGAGTCGATAATGCCTACGGTTGCTAAGCTTCGCTGAATTAATATTATATATTTGGGGGGAGGAAGAGGGACGTTTCGATCAAGTTGGCCGTGGCCTACATCTGTCTATTGCATATTTCATTGCAATGTTCACGTTCCTATTCAGGACATCATCTGGCGTTCTCTCATTTGCCATTAATGGAATGTCTGAGTACCCTGGCGATCCGACAGGTATTGGGGCCGTTTCGAGCTTGTTTGCAGCGTGGCCACGCTGCAAACAAACTCACCACCACGCGTGGTGGTGAGTTCCGGTATGTGAGTGAATTGAACTGTCCGTATAATGAATACTCAGTGATACCTTTGTAGATAATCAGACATGATTGAGTTTTATTCACGATCGATGGCAACACAAGTCAAATTCCTAAAACCAGACGTTTCGGTCACAGGGTGCCTTCGTCAGTGGACACTAGTGATTAAATTAAAAACACATAGTATCAAAAACAATCGGTATAAATCGTTCGAAGTCGACACATCGCGCACAGGTTTCGAAATGTTGAACCAAAGAATGCATTTCGAAACCTGTGCCCGATGTGTCGACTTCGAACGATTTATACCGATTGTTTTTGATACTATATGTTTTTAATTTAATCACTAGTGTCCACTGACGAAGGCACCCTGTGGCCGAAACGTCTGGTTTTAGGAATTTGACTTGTGTTGCCATTGATCGTGAATAAAACTCAACTCAGTGATATAAAATCAACCCCTGAACTAAACAACATCGTCATGCCAACGTCTTTACAAATGAAACGAATGCATGCTGGTGTGGCGTGTGCAGCCGTCGTCAACTCAGAACTCTGAATAAATTGAGGTTGTGTGTACACCGTTGCCTACTATAAATGTTGTGCCTCTGATAGGTGGCGGAATGGGGAGGGCACCGGGGCACCGTGCCCCCTGTGATTTTGGCATTTTAACATTAGCCCTATGGGCGTTGCATGAAAAGAATGGGACCAAAAGTCGGCAGTGCCCCCCTGAATTGAAGGTGTTCCGCCGCTACTGTTGTGTCTGACCTTTCCTTAGCCTATTCGTAATGGATTTGGTTAACGTTCCGTTTTCCTCCTCGTTTTCTCGGTTACTCTGGTTCCGAAATAACGACTACGATGAACAATCATTAGAACGACACTACGTCGATATCGGATTCATTAACAAATAATATCACGAGAGGCAAGATATATGTTTTAGCTAATGACATTGTATTTTTTAGGTCCCGTGATAAAACAAACAATATTTTACTTTATATTGATATCTAGATGAAATTTTACATTGACATGAAAGGGGCAACACGGAATCGCATATTCGTCTGCTGAATTCAACTCTCACCAATCCAGCAGCCTATTGAACTGCCTGTTTGAGGGCCCCGGGGGGGGGGGGGGCGGGGGCTCCCACAGCGTCTGGAGGGGTCTGCGGATGACAGAGTTATGGCTTCGACACCGCCCGAGGGCACACTGGGAGAGCCAGCCCTATCTCACGGCGGCGGGCCGGTCAGATCAGCCAGCAGAGACGGCCGGCGGCCGGGACTCGGCCGCACAGCCATTCCGTCGGCCCAGACGACCGTAACGGCCTTATCGCCGCACAGTTAGGCCGTATCGTGGCGGTGCTGTGATGGCTCGACATTTCTGAAGTGTTAACCCTCGCAGGCATCGGGGATGGGGTTGATGCAGCCTCCTCTGAGGCTTCGTGAATATCCGAAGATCCGGATCTGGTGAAAAATTGATATACCTTCCTGTTTATCTGTTAAATATTACTTATCCCCATCGAAAAACTTGCCTCCATCGACTAAGTGACTGGCGTATTACTTACCTCGCCGAATACAGTCATTATCACCCGATTGCGCAGCATATCGGGTGATAATGCATTGCATTGCTCATCCATGCATCTTCATTGTGCCGCAATCTCACCGCGTCTGATAAGAATCTTACGCGTCGAAGTTCGTTCCTCCAAACGCCTGTTACAGCATTTCCTGAACGCGTTTAATGGGCGCTAAAAAATGAAGGATTTATGCATGATACATCAGTCCACACATGCTCTAGCATAGCTTCATCCTATATGTACAACCCGTTCATTGTCGAGAGCGATCGATGTGTGATGACAAGCCACCAACTGATGGCATGTGTCGCCATAAGAAACGATGGTTAATCAGTCGACGGCCCAGAATATGGGTGCCAAAACCGGCGACCGTTTACTGATCATTAGTCTTCCGTGCCTGGCTGGAGGCGATGATCGATGATCATGTTATCACCGACGTTGAGCCTCAATCTTCCGCGATTGCGGCAAGATCACTGTCTCACTGAACATTGTAAACAAATGATTTGACAGAGTTTTGTCGTCACTTTCTTTTGGTCGTGTGGCTTCGTCGAGTGGATATGTTATATTTTTTTTTTTAGCTAGTAAATGAGCTTTGAACGCAAATGCCTAAGAAATAACATATATCATAGACCTCTGTCTCTGACGGTGTACAGAGGACAGAGGTCTATGCACATATCTTCATAATTTATCTCAATTTAAATATATGTAGAAAAATAAGGACAGGTGCTCTTCCTGCCCACGGCTTGAACTGACCTGGTGATACCCACTCACCACGGTTCACAGTTTACGGGTACTGATTGACCTACAGCTGACCCATTGATCTCCACACCGACTACCCCGTGATGGAGTGGTAGGTAAGTAGCTCCCAAGTTCCCAGTCCCCACTGACCGCCCCACAATCTGACTCACCGGTCCCCCCGTCCGCAGGCTGGTTGGGCGCGCTCTCGATGGCTCTGTCGTGGCTCCTCTCGCCGTTGACAATCGCCATCTGCCGGAGGAAGTCCACCCGGCTCACGGCTGTCCTCGGAGGACTGGTGGCCGCCCTCGGACTCCTCTTCACCTCCTTCGCCTCCCGGTTCCACCAGCTGTTCATATCGTACGGTACCATATTCGGTAAGCCGAGTATCTACTGTCAAACCCAAGGCCCTAACATCAGCCATCTAAACCAATACTGTTCTTACTTATAGATAATCTAAACAGCCTAAAGGTCAAAGCCATCTATCGGTAAGCAATATGCATCGAAGATCAATATTTACTTGAAGTCCACTTTTGGCATCACATGTCAGATACGACCTTTCCATCCGGCTATTTTTAAAGCTGCGCTCGTTGAATTCCAAAGTTTCTATGAAATCGACAAACTCAGTAACATGACTGTGAATTTGCCGTTCGCGTTGTGTGTGCGTGGGTTCACCGTTGCTTCGCTCTACTCCGAGTAGGTGCTCAGTGTCGTTACCCCGTGCCCGTCCCTCTTCCCAGCCGTGGGTGTCTCCATGACCCGGGACGCCTCCACTTTGATGGTGGGCCAGTACTTCAAACGGCGACGGGAGCTCGTCGAGACGATCGTCATGTCCGGCAGTGGTGTCGGGCTCGCCATCATGTCGGCCCTCATCCAGGGCACCATCAAGTGAGTGAATAGGTGGGGTCAGTGACGGCCTCTGGACAATCAATTTGACCAATACGTACGTTGAAAGTTGACTAAGTCGGTCGTCAACACTTGAAATACATATATTTTCAACTGGCATCTTTAGAACTACTGCAATTAATTTCTGAGGAACTAATGATTCACTTTAGAACTTAAATAAATTTCCGCAAATTACTGTAATGTTGAACGACCGTTATGCGTTTCAGGATTTATGTTACTCCATATTGACGTTCTCTCTGCCTGTTTCTCTGCTCATCACTCGGCAGGTCGCTGGGCTGGCGGCTGGGTCTGCAGGCCGTCACCGGCGCCGTGGTCTTCACTTTCCTGTTGGGCACCTTCTACCGGTCGGCGTCACTGTACCACCCGCAGAGGAGGGCCATCCTGCACCTCAAACACTCCAAGAAAAAGGTGAGCTAACGACCGAGAGGAAAAGGCCGGGCCATCCTCCACCCCAAACACTCTAAGAAAAAGGTGAGTTGTAGCGACACAGGGGAAACGCCGGGCCATCCTGCGCCTCAAATACTACAAGAAAAAGTGAGGTAGCGACTAGCGACGGAGAGGAAAAGGATGAGACTGGCCCCGGGCCATCCTACACCTCAAACACTCCATGAAAAAGGTGATAGGGTGGCATGCTGGCAAAGGACGGGTCCGGGACCGGGGTGGCCCTGTAAGAACTAGTGATGTCAATTACAGAAAATCGGAAAACCTATATCAAACCAAATACCAACCAAAACCGCGAGGAAATACCGAAACCGAGCCAACCTAGGAACATGAGGTAAATACCAAATTTGTACCAATTTCTCAGCCCCTTATACATAAGTGAGGGTTAATGTTACCAAAAAAATACAAAATATACTAGTATAAGGACTGAAATGCCAAATGCCAAGTTGGTATCGGTTTGGTATCGGTATGCCCAAAGGTTGGTATCCGATTGACTTCTCTAATAAGAACCGTTTTATTTGAGGTGATCGCTGCAGTTGATAAGGTACCCTTCAGATTGGTCGGCAGCCTACCTACTGCCCTGCCGTTTGTTTCAGGTGAAAGGTAAAACAAAGATAGACGACAAGCCGCCGTTTTTCGACGTGTCCATGCTGAAGTCGCGGACGGTGCGGATGCTGCTGTTCTCGGCGAGCCTCAGCTCCGTTGGCCTTCACACACCGCTCATCTACCTGGTATGTGTATTTTAGGTGTATGTATTGTCTGAGAAGATGCGATGCGCTACCTATTGCAGGGTTAATTAACAGTTTCAAATAATAACATTGGGACCAGGCAAAACGGCATGTTTTGAAAATAGCACCATAAATAAACTTTACTTTTAAATGTCATTGCTTGGATACTAGCCAAGGTATGCTATGAAAACTTTCCCTCAAAATATATCCACGACCTTTTACAACATTGTCGTACGTTGCTGGGCCTTCGTATGAAATAGTGAGCCCCTGACCCTTTGACGTCAGGCGCAGCAGGCCCGTCAGGAGGGTATTAGCGAGGAGTCGGTGCTGCTTCTACAGACCTACCTGGGGCTCGGCTGGACACTCGGCTGCTGCGCCTTCGGTTTTGTGGTCGTCAGAAACAATCAGGTGCGGTCTCCGCGAGTTCCGTTTATCAGGATAAGTGCCTAAAAGTTATAACAGACATTGAAAATCTTATTTATCACAAGCATACACATTGATTTTTAGTGCGAAGTCATGACCTTCGTATTTTGACTCGACCGTATAATGCATAGCAAACTTTCTAGTTCCTACCCTGAATGTTTCAAACACTAAACAGTTTCAACCTTTTCTACCAATACCTTAGCTGCTTCTGGATGTGATGGCCTGCGCAGACTTTCGGTCATAGTTTCTGCCTTTGATCTGTATGCGAAATCCTAATTGTACCGATTACCGACAGCTCTTCCATCGGCTGTATTTGTCAGTGAAGCACCACTCACTCCGGCTCTGCTCTCCGACAGGAGTGTCACATCAGCCGTCAGTACCTGTACCAGGCGTCCTCCTTCGTCTGCGGTATGTGTCTGCTGGCGCTGCCCGCGGTGCAGGGCTACAGCGGCTACGTCCTCTTCGCCTGGCTCTACGGCATCTTCTACGGCGGCTTCCAGTACAGCCTCAAAATGTGCACGTATGAGAAGGTCCGCGCCAGGAACTTCGCCAAGACGTGGGGCTTCGTCCAGGGCAGCCAGGCGATACCTGTGCTGCTGGGAGCGCCCGTCACAGGTCAGTTGAAGACTTAGGATGAGAATCCGCCACTGGTGCTTAATTGCTCCTGAGCTACGCGACGTCTTGTTTTGTCTTCTTTTATTGATTCGCTTTTTACGTTTGAATAAAAAAATTGCGTCTTTGTCTAAATAACATCGAAGCCTTATCGCCAGACGCCAGATCAGCATCGCACTCCGAAGTCCCAAACATGTTCTTTCTAACGTGCTTTACTTTTACAGGCTACATAAACGTGGCCGTCGGCGGCAAGGCGGGCTACTACTTCAGCGCCACGTTCGTCGTCATCGGCAGCATCAGCATCTTCCTGGTGGAGTTCCAGCGTCGCCAGCGTCGTCGGCGGCGTCGGCACCGGCACGGGCACAGCGCGGCCGCCTCGGACGCGCCGCTGGCCGAGCAGCCGCCCCCGGAGCCGCTCCCGCGCGTCGACTCGCTGCCTGATGTCGACGAGCGCGTCCTCAGCCTGCTGAAGCAGCGCGCCTCGGCCATGGCGGCGGCCCACAGCAGCGGCGAGCACCGCAAACAGCAGGAGCTGACCTGCATCTCCGAGGAAGGAATCGCCGACATGGACCTGCCCGACGAGCTGTTTGACGACATCGAGCTCGAGCTGAACCTGCTGCAGGGCGACATCACGTCCTGCAACAAGGTCGAGAACTACTTGGTGCTGAGTGAGTACGAGAACAACCTGTTTGCCGAGCAGCCGAGCGACCGACGGCCGGGCGGCCAGCGGCGCTCCGTCAGTCGTGGCATGGCAGCGGCGCAGGCCGCCGCCCGGCGACAGGCCGACATCCCCGAGGAGCACCCGGAGATAGAGAGCGAGCCGCCCTCGGACGCCTCGTCCATCTCCTCGCGCCTGTTGCGCACGTTCCGCCGGGGCCGCAGACGCGGCAGTGAGGCGCAGCGACACCCGCACTAGCGCTGGAGGGGTGCGGATGTCACGGAGTCGTTAGCCGGGACGGTGGTCGTGATGGGGCTAAAGCCGGATTGCGGACGGTCAGTGTTTTGGAAGAGGGGATCTTCCGAATCTGCCATTAGTTCGTGACAAGACTGGTTGTTTGAACTTCAGGATATTGTAACGCGGCCAACGTGAATGTGATGTTGATCTATTCATCCGAGATGTCAGGGCGAGCTTATGTGTTTTATGAACGTTATGGTAACTGTGCGACTTGTGGGATTTTATCTCGGTCATGTACAGCTGACTGCAGCTCTTGCATAGCTGTGTATTACTTTGCTAGCACACAACGTTAGTGATCAAGTCATTCACATCGTTATTCAAAACATTTAATGCTCTTGATTTTATTATATTTTATTGCTTCGCTCTCCCACTGTTCACGTTTAATAGGTGTTTATATGTGAATTATTCTAGTTATTTTCTGACCATTCCCATCGTGGTGACTCGCGAATGTTATCGTGAATACGTTTTTTTTTGTTACACTTTTTATGATCAAAGCCTTTTGGCATTTTTTTCATTGATGGTGAACTACCGTCATTGTTTTGTGACTGTAAACATGGGATATGTAGCTAGAGCGTTGTGTACTTAGATGAGGAAATACATGCGGTATACCAAACGGTAATCGTATCTTTTGGCTGCTGCACTAAGGTTGCTCCCGCAGCTCTGAAGGACATTGTTTTAAAAGTATACTTGTGGTACTTACGACGCACGATTGAAATTATATGCTGATTTACGTAGAAAAGACACTACAGTGTGATCAATTTATATTCAAGAATTATACGCGTGCATATCAGGATAGGGTTCTCCATACAACCGTCCATTGCAGAATTTGACCGGCCACAGCCAACAGCAATGCCATCTGGGCTGCAGCCACCACGAATTTGGTTCAGAAAGCCGTCAGCAGAGGCTCTGCCATCGACACAGGGCGTCAGAAAACGTCACCCTTTGTGGAATTCTCGACTGACGGACGTGACATCCGGTGGCCGTCTGGACGTGACTGGGGCGGGGCGCCGTTACGGAGCAGCCTCTATGACCTCTGACTCGAGGTCAGCGGCCGCTGGCTCAGCAGCGATCGCTTCCAGTCCGTTTCGGACGAACCGGGCCGGCGCTTGGGCTTCGACTGGCAACCTCAACTGCTCAGGAATGTCCTGTACCGTGTACGGTACTTGTTTGTACGATTCACCGTCGTATGTGTACCTGTGGATGACAACAAAGGGGGTGTTATAACGGATCACTCATTTATATATTTAGACGGTAGCAAAGTGTTTTGTGCAAGCATGCTAAGTAGTAAGTATCCGTCATTGAGAAATAGTTGGGTCTGGTTCGAGTCTGGTTCCCAAAATTTTCACCTTTTGCCACCTCTACTGTAAATTTCTACACGTGCACTTAGCCATTAGGTATATCTATCTATTTATGTTCAAAATAAATTTTTCGCTTAGAAATGTCAACAGCTGATCGATAAGAAAACTTTATGTCATTCTCAGATACCGCAACATGACGAGGAATTAAGATGAACGTATCTCTAAGTTGACCTTCAACGGTAAGCCTTTTGCCAATTACCGGGATAATATGTGTACCACTACCGCGGCGTACAACATGCATGCTACATTGCAATGAAGACTTTCATTCCAGAAGTAACGGCTTATTGATTCAGACTTGTGTACATTTCGTTATCTGATCGGTTGATTGATTCTCTAAATTCCGAAATTGATCAAGATCTTTCGCGCATATTTTCTCCAACTTGCCACTACACTACCTACTTGTTTGTAATAAGAAACGAATAATAACGATAGGATAAGGTAACGGTGACTTAAGTCAAGAACGGCTAAATCCGGAATTTCTGTAACTACGCGTTACTTTTTGGTAACGCATTTTCTAGTTTGATATAACACGGTGCGTAATTTATATTTTGGACATGAATTACATTTTAAAAGCGTGCTCTGCTGCAATTATCCCGCGCCACGTCGGGCTATGGGCGGCTCCCTACGGACGACGGTGAAAACAGGGCGCCTGGGGCGATTTGATCAAGGTTCGTGAAATTCACACGTGATATTTTACATGTAGAAGGCCCATGAACGGGGGAGAACTTCCAAATGTCACGCGACTAATATGCCCTCCGGCGCCCTGTTTTCACCGGCGTCCCTTCCTACCGCCCGTTTGGGGGGGGGGGGGGATTTTCGGCCCTTCCTCCTAAGATCTCGGAAACTTACCGACCGGTTTTGAAAATTCAAACGGCGTTCGATAACGCCACTGCGCAACTACTTTGTGACCAAGTTTCATTGACCTGGATGCAACTGATGACGTCATAACTCCCAGGTCAGGTCAAAGGTCGCATTTTTCACCGATCACGGGCCTTCTAAGGAATGCGTTTATAACATCGAGTAAAAGGCATGTTATCGAAAATTATCGATGCAGCGTTGGACGCCTAATACATATCTTGCTTAGGAGGTTGCCAGGTCAGGTCACAGAGGTGAGGTCACTAAGGGTCACAATATGAACCCAACTATAATAGGGTCGTGTGATGCATGTTCTATGGCCAATTTTACATTTCCAATGCAATGGTGCGTGTTTGACGAGTGACGACCATTGAGGCCGGTTTAGGTTACGCCCTGGCAGAGGTCAGGTCAGGTCAAAAGGTCAAATTTCAAAGTTGGTAGTTTTGCATAAAAGGGTATCTATCTATGACCTTGGAAATTTTTCGTCATAAACTTTGAGCAGGTTTTTTGCGATAATTTTGCAAAAAAATGGAGCTATCAAGACCAAATTTGGCATGTCAATAGCAGACGAATAGTTCTATAACACATACCTATTCCATTTTTCAAAACATTGAAAATTATTGGTGTTTTGGGTATCATATCCAAAAACACTTTTTTTGAGTTTTAGGGGTCAAAATAAAAATTTCTAGAAATCCAAGATAACAATTTTGTAGCCTTCTTAATTCTACGCTTTTTTCTAAACATTTTGCTCTACCTTCAAAACTGTAGGCGTGACAGCTCTTCCCGCCAAACTTTTTGGGGGTAAAACATGGCAGAACATGACGTGACGTCTCTCTGACTTCATTTGTAGCCACACTATCATTGACTCTGGAACCAGTATAGCGCCTTTTGGGGCGACTAACGGAGCGAGCGAGGGGGTGAGTCTTGCACGTGCGAAATTTCGAGGGGGTACCTCCAACTGACTTGTGCACGGCACCCTACTGACTGGTCTCTAGCGATGTGCCAAATTTGGGCACAATCGGCCCAGCCGTTCTCGAGATCTGGAAGCGGCACCCTGCACGTGCGCACGTGCAAAATGGGTCCCAACTGACTTGTGCACGGCACCCTAGTAACCGGTCCCTAACTGTGTACCAAATTTGAGCGCAATCGGTCGAGCCGTTCTCGAGATCTGGAAACGACCCCTGCACGTGCGCACGTGCAGCGGCACCCCAACTCTGGCACATGGATATGCAGTGCCTAGTGGGTGCCTACCTACATGCCAACTTTCAGCGCAATCGGCCAAGTAGTTACCGAGATATTGCAACAATTACAAAACTGACACCTCTTCGTTTTGCACGTGGCACGTGCATAAGGGGTCACCCACATGCATCGGGAATAGTCCAATACTTGGTAGAAGGAATGAAGCTACCCTACAAAAATTACCGCATGTAAATCGGTCAAGTGGTTGCTGAGATATAAGCCTCGCAAAAGCGTCCGCACGGCCGGCCGGCCGGCCGGCCGGCCGGCCGCTCATACTCAGAAATTTCCGTTATTCTACGTAAGACTCCGCTCGCTTCGCTCGCTCCGTAACAATGATTGGTCACGAGGTGTAAAATTGATGCTCGGAGGGGTCCTGAAAGTTTGGTGGCGATATCTGGTACACTTTAGGAGATATCGACTGAAAAATAGAGCCCCCCCCCCCGACGGGGCGCAGGTGAAGTTTGCAAAATCGTTTGTAAGGAGAAATATTGAGTTCGTCTCTGATCTAAGCCGCATGGTTCTCACATGAAGGCGCTGTAGGAGCCGTCGTCATTCTTGTAGCCGTAAATGCCCCGCAGCTGGCCGTCCGAAAGGCGTTCTTCCACCCTGAATTGATTCTCGTCGTCGAAGCCGAACCTGGAACGATGCCAAACTGATAGGTTAACCGGTTTGGTCGGAATCACTTTCACGTTCAATGCTATGCAACCTGATGATCTTATAACGAGTCAAGGGTGATATACGTATTATGTATGCGAATTCGTTCTAGTATTTAGGCGGCCGTCATCGAAGCGAAATAAGACGTTTCAAAACAATGCTTATAAGCTGCAACTTATAAAAGCATTAATTTTTTACAGCAAATACGTACCAATTAACAATTCTCTCTCTCTCTCTCTCTCTCTCTCTCTCTCTCTCTCTCTCTCTCTCTCTCTCTCTCTCTCTCTCTCTCTCTCTCTCTCTCTCTCTCTCTCTCTCTCTCTCTCTCTCTCTCTCTCTCTCTCTCTCTCTCTCTCTCTCTCTCTCTCTCTCTCTCTCTCTCTCTCTCTCTCTCTCTCTCTCTCTCTCTCTTCTCCTCTCTCTCCCTCTCCCTCTCTCTCTCCTCTCTCTCTCTCCTCTCTCTCTCTCTCTCTCTCTCTCTCTCTCTCTCTCTCTCTCTCTCTCTCTCGACTTACTTGTATTTGCCGCTCTCGTCATACAGCTTCTGATACTGATTATTCGAGGTGACCTGAGTGACCTTTTCGATTTTTGGCGGCCGGATGATGACCGACGCCTGCAGGATCTCTTCATTATCGGGGATCGGGACGTCCTGGACCACCTGGACGTCCCCCTGGACTAGCTGGACATCCTGCGGTAGCGGGGAGGCGGCCGCCGCCAACAGTAGCGCCCACAGCAGCGCCAGCGTCTGAATGAGAGGCCGAGATGCCACAGTGGTCAGGTCACAGGCGGATGATCCAATGAGAGTGGATTAGCGGGGGCTCGGATCGTATAAAGCCGAGATGACGGTGGAAGGATGAGTTTCCTGGTAAAGCCGCTTCACCATTGTAAGCACTGGAGTAAAGGAAAGGATGAAGTTACGGTCCGGTTAGCGCCACAAACACACAGTAGTCACAAAACATGACTTTTGTCATTTTTACAAGGGTCAAAGACTCGAAGCTATAAGAAACAGCAGCTTTTGCTTTAGCCCGCGCCCCGCTGGGCTATTCAGCCATACGCGCCCTGCTGGGGGGGGGGGGGGCAGATTCTGCCCCCCCCCCTGTCTAACTTCCGAACCGATGGTCGTAGAAAGATGGGGAAACCGGCAATCGAAAGCTCTCATTAAGGCGGATCTTAAGAGCCCAATTTTTTTTGTTAAGTAGGTCAGAGGTCAGGTCAAGGTCAGGTCAAGTGTACAAGATGCAAGTTTCTACAGTATCGGCCTTGCACCGTAGTTGCCGAAGAATGGAGTGAGACTGATTGCCCAAAACGTGTTCTTAGACTACCAAGACAATATTCGTTGCATACAATGTCATTCAAACGTCAAGGTCAAGGTCAGGTCAGGTCATGTCAGGTCACCAAAAACAAAATATAGAAAAGGGCATGTGCGACACATGTTTTATGGGTCATTTTACTCATAGAATTCAATAGGCGCACTCAATAAGTGATATGGACCACCTCTGGATGAATTTCAGGTCGAGGTCAGGTCAAGGTCAGGTCAAGTGAGGTCAAATTTTGAAGTTGGTTGTTAAGGCCTAAAAAGGTGTCTATCTGATGCAGTTTTTCACGGCGAATCGAATGGTGCTATTTTTGTTTCCGTACGAGGTCCAGAACTTCCAAAAAAATCATTTTTCAAAATTTTTGTCTGTCGTGACGTCATAAAATTTTGAATAACTCCCACATTTTTGAACCGATTCTTCTAAAAATTGGTATGTAGGTGCACATAGACCACTTCTTTGACACATATTCCGGTTTTTTCGCTACACTCAAAATTTTGGATTTTATAAATATTTTCCCAAAAAAGTCAGTTTTTTGAAAAAATTTGGGCCTAAATCCAAAATTTTCAAAATACCGAGATAGCCATTTGATAGACAAAGTAGAATCACGTATAACCTTTTTGTTACGTCTTGATTCCTTTAAAAATGAAGATGTTAGCGGCGTTTGCAATTTTGCCATTTTTGAGGCAAAAATGGCGAACATGACGTCACTAAAACGTCAATTTCTCAAACATTTTCCGACGGATTTCGCTCAAATTTTCAGGGAACGTGTCAAATTGATGTATGATAAGGTACTGAAAGTTTGACGTCGCTGGCGTAACGCGTTTAGAAGGTATTGGCGAAAAACGGGAGGGGGGCAGATTCTGCCCCCCCCCCCCCAGCGGGGCGCGGGTTAACAGTGGTACAAAGATGGTATTGGACATGAATTGGATAATATACCTGCTAAACAAGTGTTAAAGCTCTCGCGTAGTTTTGCGGACGGAGAATCACTGTCAAAATTGAATAAGCGCCCTCTTTCAAGTCAGAGCCCTCTTACTTACAATCATTGTGTACTGACCACCACGTCAGCAGATGAAAGAGCCAAGTTCAAACTAGGCAAAATGTGGAATTATCCTCGTCAGGATAACATTGCAAAAGTCAAACCCGCCACGCTACATTCTCCGACCTTCCATGAGGCATAAAAGGACCTGCAGTGACTCTGAACGCTTCGAGATCATATGCCACCTCAACCTCATTGTTATTCCCGTACAAATGCAAGAGGCCGGTTATGGGAACACATGAATAGCTAAGATGTTGCAATGTATTGCGCAAAATTTGCGACGAAGCTGATGACGAAGAGTCAATCAATAAACTAAGGCGAACACTATTAACCCGCGCCCCGTTGGGCTCTGCCGAGCAACGCGCCCCGTTGGGGGGGGGGGGCCATTTTGCCCCCCCCCCCTAAGATCTCGAGAACCACGCAACGTAGCGACAAGCGGCAAACGGTGTTGGATAGCCCTATCAGGGAACTACCTTGTGACCCAATTTTATTGACCTAGGTCAAACCGATGACGTCACAGGTCAGGTCAAAGGTCCAATTTTCACCGTTTACAGGCATTTCAAGAAATGCGTTGTAAAATCGAGTAAAATGCATTTCATTGAAAATCATAGATGGGGAAATGTTCTTCAAACACATATTTTGCTAGTTGAGGTCACTGATACCAGGTCAGGTCACTGAGGTCAGGTCACTGGGGGGTCACAATATGAAAGTGTCGTGTGATACATGTTTTATGGTCCATTTTACATGACAAATGCGATTATGTGGGTCAGGCAGCCTTTGGGGCCAGCTTAGGTCACGTTTTGGTCAAGGTCAGGTCAAGGTCAGGTCAAGGTCAGGTCAAATTAGGTCAAATTTTAAAGTTGATATTTTTGCATAAAATGGGTATCGAATCGATGCAGCTCGTCACGGGGAGTTCAATGGTGGTCTTTGTTTTGCCGTACGAGGTCTAGAATCGCTAAAAATTGAGTTCAAAAATTTGACGTCATCATTTTTAAACAGTTTTTCGCTATAACTTGGCCAAAAAACGAGATATCGATCTGAAATTTGGTATGTATATAGAAGAGCGCAGGGACTATCACATATATTCCGGTTTTTTCGAAATTCGGAAAAATTTTGGATTTTTTTTAGTTTTTCTAAAAAAATCAATTTTTTGAAATTTTTTGGGTCAAAAACCCAAAATTTTGAAAATCCGAGATAGCAGTTTTGTAGCGCCGCTTTTTGTCTATTAGACCATATAAAGAACTTTGAAATTGCTTGATAACTGTAGATTTGGTGAGCGTTTCAAGATTGCATGTTTTTTGCTCATTTTTGCTCGAACATGACCTCAGTTTGACCTCAATAGCTCCTGACCTAAGGTGACCTAAGACTTGAAATTTGGTGTGAAGGTGTCAAATTGATGCCCGAAAAGGTACTGAAAATTTGGCGGCGCTGCGCGCCGCCGTTTTCTTGCTATTCAGGAAAAACCACAGGGGGGGGCCAAAATGCCCCCCCCCCAACGGGGCGAGGTTTAATGGCCAGAACACATTGGTGTATTATTCTGCTACCGGTAGAAACATGTTTGGCAAACATACTTATAATGATAACTCGAATGGGCATGTACCGGAACCCGTGTAACCCCTCCCTGCCCTCCGCATACCCTTTGTATAAACCAAGCCATTATAGGTTGGCATCTCGTGTCTGTGAAGGTACAGTGATTTGCGAAATTCATTAAAGGGACCCTCCCACCTTAACATTAGATTTGAGTTGAGATAGCCAAAATGGGGTCCCTGGCTCACAATTACCGGTTTTGGCACTCACAACATCGAGAAATGCCTTAAATCAGAAATATTGAATTTCAAAATTGCAGCATTTTGATTCAGAGGGGCTAATGCTTAGGAATACCCCTCTGAATGTGTGACGTCAGCGCAGATATCTAACGATTTTTAAATGTTTGACTAAAACGTTTTGTAGCACGCGGTGGTATATGCTATTTGCGTGCAACATCTGCCGCAAACGCCGCACTTCTAAAATAAAGTCGCTAGAAACAGCAGAGATCCCAAAAAAGTAAACAAAAGTAAAAGTCTAATATCTTGAAAACCGGTGAATATTTTTTCGGTGTAATTTGATAGATATTCGTTTTCGCTCTTTCTGAACCGAGCGACATCACTTTCATGCCAATTCATACACTTTTTTGAAGGTGAGAGGGTCCCTTTAAAGGGACTATCCCACCTTTAACATGGGGTTTGAGTTGAGATAGCCAAGTTTGCGGCGAGGTTCAGAAACCACTATCTATCTAGGTTGCAACCCCCGCGGCCTCTTGGTGTTGAAGAAATTCGTTCCCTTCATTTGAAAATGGGCCTTGTACAAGGCCCTATCTTCAACATGGAGCGACCGTTAGTGTGACGTCACCTCGTTTAGTATGTAGTCATTCTGATTTAAATGGTTTTTTTTCGTTGAAAAATCGCTTAAAACTTGATCTGAACTTTGTTGTGGTGCCTACAGCAGAGTAAAAAGAATCAGCTTTATGACAGTAATGTGGCCTGGGGAAGGAGGTAATTTTGGGCTGTGACGTCACATATTTGAAAGTTTGTGTTTGGAATATGGGAAGCCTAAGATGTTTAATGAAAAATAAATGCCAGAACCGTGTTCCTGGTCATCCAATCTATAAAGTCGGGCACAATTTAACTGGTTTTAACAACATTTTAGAAGGTGGGATAGTCCCTTTAAGTGATTGGAATGACCTCCCTTGAATCATGAATCAGTCTCCATATACGTCCCGTGGCTAGGTATTCCGACTATGTATTCAGTCCATACAGCACATCTGCTGGACTACATATACAGTGACTTGGAAGAGGTTCACAAGCACACAAACAATGATGGTGCTGGGGCGACCGCCAGGGCGTTGAACTTTAGGTCAAATGCATAGTTATCATAAACCTGGTAGGCGGTAACTTCCCTAAATGGAAAGACCGCTTCTCTGTGGTTTGCGTGCCGAGCTCAGAAGACATCATAAATGAGCTAATAGAGCCTTGCGTGACCCGATGCTACCCCGGAAAAGTGCATCTTCTGTTTTGTATGGCCAGAAACACCACAGGACACGGGCTTTGTGGTATTGTTTGATCAGTTGTTCTAAAAATGTCTTATAAAGTTAAGTTATATTCATGCGTTCAGCCGGTCCATCCAAAAAGAGAATATCGCCAATCGATCCGATTGCCGGGGAAAATTGGATCTGCGAGACTTCGTGTGAAATCAGCCACAGAGCTGTGGCTGCAAAAAATAGCTCTATTTGCATGTCTGAGAACAAAGTAAAAGTTAGCGTTCCATGGCGTGTACGTAATGAATGAGTATGTATTTTCATTTTAGTGACGTTCTGGTCCACCCACCGCCCGACTGGTGAATGACATCATACATAACTGAAAGCAGCTCACTAAAGCGATATGTTCGGTTCTGTGGTTCGACGCTCAAAGAGCAGGTTTTGACACTCTGAGGATGAATTTCAACGATGTCTTAGAAACAGCAGTGACGGCAAAATCAGGAGGAAAACTTGTTCTCACGGCACAGATACGGGATCTCTGCGAGCACTCTTTTATCTCAAATGGCTGACGTGATAACATGGTTTCCATGATGCTCGATTAGAAATACCAAGCGTTTGTAGGTAAAGTACCAATGTTCGTTTCAATGTGACGTCTTGTTAGTTCAGTACAAAAAGAAAAGTTTGATATGGTGTTTTACGCCACACTAAAATGCCGAGAGCTCTTTGTCAAGAAAGCAGTGAGCGAAAGAAAGCAATAGATGCGATATATACGTGAGCGAGTGTGACCTGCGATGACTACGAATAACTGTACTCGAGTGCTCTTGCTTGAGGTCCCTATCAGACGAGCAATATCATTACCTGCTCATTATTCCGACATGTTGTCTCTGCATCCTACCTGACAAACCAAAAAAGGCGGCTCGTGTGCTCTCCACAATTAGCAAGAATTCGACTTCTTAGACGTAAAAAAACACCACTCAGGACTGATCTGATCAAAAATGATCATGAACGCATACAAAAGCAACGGACAAAGGGAAGCATCACAGTTTCGGCTGGAAGACAAATGCACAGTCTAATCGTAACCGGCGAGCTCACGGAGGATTGGGTGACCTTGCAACGTGATCTTTGTTCTCCGGTAGCAGCTCTGCCTGGGTATCCTGGTGCCAGGTGACGACACACTACATGACGGTCCCACCAAACTCTCCTCACACCAGCACATCACACTTCCCGCACACGACGTCACGTCACTCCCCGCACCTCACTGATGTCGGAGTTATCACACACGTCACCGGGTGACGCTCCCTCCCGGCTCCAGCCGCCCGGCACTCACCGCGGCCATGGTGTGGGCACTGAACCTGGCGCCGTCGACTGCCGCCTCCCGCCGAGGATGCCACTGTCCAGAGAGGCGCGGAGAGAGCGGCGGAGAGGCCGGACAGAGCGCGGCGCGGCCCGGACCGGTACCTGGGACCGCGCGCTGGTCGGGGTCAGCCGCTTCTCTCGCGAGCAGCTATTCACAGATCCAAGGCGAGCCGTCTCCGGCGTGCCCCGCGGCTTAGCGGTTCGGAGCACGCAAAAACCGCGCGCAGGCCCGCCGGGAAGTGGCGGCTCGCCGCTGCCGCCTACCGTCCTGGTAAGTCACGAGGTAGTCGGAATAGGGATCCCACGGATGGGCCCACACTAGATACGGGAGATTCGGGGAGGTCGAAAGTAGAATAGGGGTTTTTTGAGTTGGAAGCGTCAGAGGAATTGCATGTTTCCCTTTGTTCACGCGAGAATCTAGATGCTTTTTGTATTCCTATAGATAATTATTGATGGAGTTAATACTTTGGAGTGCTCTTGCGAGGAACATTATGAATATTAAAGAGAGAAAATATATGACAAATTGACCTCTCCTCGACATTTAAATTATTGAAATAGCGAAATATTACTGTATTGATATTTCGGCCAACAGGCCTTCTTCAGAATGCGATAATGCACACAAGTGTACGAGAATACAATAACATGTTTTTTATTGTATTCTCGTACACTTGTGCACACTATCGCATTCTGAAGAAGGCCTGTTGGCCGAAATATCAATACAGTAATATTTGGCTATTCAAATACCTTAAATGTCGAGGAGAGGTCAATTTTTCATATATTTTCTCTCTTTAATATTGATGGAGTTAAGCGCTTGTGCGAGGAACATTGTGAAAGTTCTTTGAAAATATACAAGCATGACCTTTTCTCGATATTGCATACGAAAAGTGCCGCAAATGTACTTTAATGCAAGAAAATATGTGATATTTCGGCCACTGGCGTTACATATATAATCAAGATAAACAATAGTTTAACCCTCGCCGGCACAGGGGGGGGGGGGGTTGATGCAACCCCCCCTAAGGTTTTTCGCGAATAACTCGCGTAAAAAGCGGCCGATCGCGACGAAACTTTTAGTACCCCCGCATTGATCAATTTTACACCTACCCTGAAGATTTCATGACCCTGACCCCAATGACCTTTGACCTGTGACCTCTTTTCCGAGACCATGTTTGGCCGGATTCGCGATTCGGCGTATGTCGGCTAATATTAGCCGCGCGTTTGCAAGCTTTTTGTGGTTTCAAACGTTCAAACATGTGATTTGATGTCGCTCCCATACATTAGGGTGGGTGTCAAGGTCACCTTAAGGTCAGGTCAGGTCATTGACCTTTGGTGACCTCGGGTGACCTCGGTTCACTTTTTCGAGTTTTACATGTTTCTAGGCTAGTTTTTGGAGCTGAATTCGAATTTGGCAACCATTTGAACATTTATGAAGTAGTTTTGGTCCCTTCGTAACATGTTACGAAGCTGTCAGAGGCGGTTGACACGTATTACGAATACCCGTCACAACCCCTACCGGTTGACCTGACCTGACCTGACCCGACCTGGTCTAAATGCTTAAAGACATCATCTCTGATCAAAACTAACACGATATTCGTGATCAGCACCCCGGAAAACCACATAGCAGCCACAATTTACGACTTTCTAACAGGTCCCGATTTTCCCGGTTTTCGGGTCATTGACCTGACCTGGAAGGTCACCCGATGACCTAGGACCTTAAAATTGGGTATCATCGGCTTCGTCTCGTGACGGGCAACACGCTCGTTTTTTCCGCGAAGCTCTAGCTCGATCAGTGGCCAAACGCGAGGGGGGGTCGTACCAACCCCCCCCCCCTTGTGCCGTCGAAGGACGCAAAATGGCCTGTGCCGGCGAGGGTTAAATGTTTGGTAATAGAACATTTTCGTCACTTTTCGTATTCAATATCGAGGACAGGTCATGCTTGTATATTTTCAAATTCCTATAGGTTACTAGATATTTGTTGTAGAAGAGATTTGGTGCAGATATGGTCAAATGGTGCATTCGCCATAGAGCCCGCCCCATTGTGAAAACGGCTATCGTGACCCTTGTGACCTGACTTCTGTGACCTGACCTGGTATCAATGACCCTTATTTAGCAAAAATGTATTAGACACGCAATGCTCCATCGATGATTTTCCATAACATACCTTCTACCCGATGTTATAACACATTTCTTAGCATGTCTGGTGAGCGGCCAGAAAAGCGGCCTTTGATCTGACGTGTGACGTCATTGGCTGCAACAATGTCAGTGAAATTTGGTCATAAGCTACCATAGCAGCTACCATAGGTCAGCCGGAAATGATGTCAGAGTGACGTCATTCTCACCTGGTATTCTCACCTGGTAGGGCTCACCAAGCCTGACAGCCCTAAGGATAGTCAAGGCAAGGGAACCCAGGATCAAAGGATGCGCCAGTTGAGATAAGAATTCGCGAGTATAGAGGGGTTACATAGCAACTGGAGTTATAGCATCCACATAAATAGCTCATACGAAAAAATACATGTGAGTCAAGAATATTTGACACGAAGTTGCTCATCATCAACCACTCCGCAGGCTTGTACAGTTCGTCACGAATCGCATCGGCCAAGGCCCTCTTAAAGCTAGTTAAGTCAGGTGCAGTCACAACGTTTTCTGGGAGGCCGTTCCAGATGTGTATACATCGGATGGAGAAAGAGCGACGACGAACATCTAGTGTAACATGATGTCGATTTCGATTCGGTCGATTTCGGTCGATTTCGACGCAAAACATTGAACCACGGCAAGAGCTCAGTTTTTAAGCTAGATCCACTTTCTTTGCATGAGAGGACTAAGAAAAGACTGCGCTATCAAACTGCTGTCTTGGATTTTTTTTTTTTTTTGAAAAGTATATATATTAAAATTCAAAATATGTGTTATCTTTGTTTCATTTTTTTTTACTCTTCGAAAAAACCGCAACATATGTGATAAAAAACATGCTTATGTCTTACTCTATGCAAGTTGTAGCCAGATGTCTTCAAAAATGGCCGAGCTATACGCATTACAGCAAAAATTCCAAAATTATAAAGTTTTCAAATCAATTTTTCAGTGCGTATTTGACATCGTACGGCAATATAAATAGCACTATTGTGTTCCTCAGCTCAAACTGCATCCGAAAGACCTTTTCTTTGTTGAAAAAAAAAAAATTAACTTTAAAATTTGACCTTTTTTTACCTTAAAGTGGTCTGACATAAGCTAAATTCAACTCATAATGACCTCGAATGTCATAAACGACATGGAATTCCAAATATATGGCCTAAATAAACAATAAAACATGTGTCACGTGACCGATGCATGATATAAAATTTGCATGACCTGTGATGACCTGACCTTGACCTGAAAATCAAAGTACAAGTTTGGTATCCTCAGGGTATCTAAAGCATCTGTTCACAAGTGTGTAAACCAAAAATGAGCCTGATCTGACTTGTAAGACGGTGGCCAGAGCTCAAAATGTGAGCAAGCCAAACATCGATAATTACTTTGGCCTGAGCTGTGACGTCATCGGTGGCCTCGAGGTCAATGAAATCAAGCTTTATTGGACAGATTTTCCGGGGCTATCAGACGCCGTTTGAATTTTGACGATCGGCCCAGTAGTTTCGGAGTTAGTAGAGGGGCTATGAATAGCCCCCCCCCCCCCCCAGTAGGGCGCGTTATACGCAGACCCCAGTGAGGCGCTGGTTAATTAACTGAGATCGACAAAGGTTTCGGAAAGCTGCCATGATTGACTGGTAGGCATGAAACGGCGCGTATGAAGCGCTGTTTGATATTCAACGAGCTCAAAAACCGGCAAACGGCCTTGAAGACGCAGCTAAGCAGGAGTCACCTCGAACGTCCGAAGATCCCAGGTCCGTTATTCGATGCAGCCCGTCCTCCCTGTCTGCCTCCATTCGATCACACACTCGCACAAAGACGGTATTTGCGTCCTTTTTATGGAGTTAGGTATGGTTAAAAATGGCGCGTACCTCGCTTTGAAATATGGTGGGAGAAAAAACGAATACCACCCAAAACGATGAAAATATGACTGTTGTAATTTCCTAGGTAATTCTCTTCCTCAACAACACCTCAAAAACGCACCAGTCGCATTATGAAGCAGTGAATATGTATTCATTTTCACATATGTCAACAGTCTGTTTTAGCCGGATGATCAAAATACACACACGCATAGGACACTACACAACGAAACTTTTCAACATTGGCATGTCTCGTTAGGTCACTCACTGGCACTGCAGTGCTAACCTTCCGCACGCTGCCTCGGAAAAGCGCACAGGCAAAGTCCGCGTTGGGCTTTCTTGTCAGCTACACACTTTGACTCCTCGAAAGAAAGTCTGTAAAGCTGAACGTTTGAAATAGCTTTTGGTAGAACATAATATATGTCTGTGATGTTTAGCGGGTGATTTTACGAGACGAACTGAGGTGATGTTTAGTATTTGACGGTGTAGCCGTGCTGCTCCACCGGCTCAGCCGCCACAGAGACCGTGTTGGTCACCGTCTCGTAGGAGGGGAAGGCGGCCGCGTAGGTGGTAGGGGCGGCGGCGTAGGCCAGCGGGGCGGCACTGTAGGCCAGCGGGGCGGCACTGTAGGCCAGCGGGGCGCCGGCGTAGGCCAGCGGGGCGCCACTGTAGGCCAGCGGGGCGCCGCTGTAGGCCAGTGGGAGCAGAGCACCGTAGGCGCACGCCAGCACCAGGCAGAGAACGATAACCTGCGGAAGAACGGGCGCCTCTGTCACATGTGTGGGACTGGCAAGAGGTCATTTCTGAGAAGACGGACTTTTCTTTCTCCATGTCTAAATAAATTACACGATTATCTTATCAATGTTTATCGATTCAAATGTGTTTCGGAACTAAACTCCATTAGTTGACTATCCTAAGAAATGTTATGACACATAAACAAAGTCACTGAAGCATTTGAAATAAGTTATTTTTAGGTATTTTGGTTTAGTAATTTATTATCTTCGGTCCAATCCTTTTCTGATCCAAGTAGCTCATCAGAACTCACCTGCTTGTACATGTTGGCGGCTGCTGGACGATGCACCGTGCGTCGTGTGCGTGTATGTGTGTGTGCAGACCCGTCAGCCGGTGTGTTGGTTTTATACCCGGTCGCCCCCCCCCCCCTCCCGCTGTCAGATACAGGGCGTGTCCAGGCTGGGCGGGGCCACCTCTGTGCAGAGAAAACGTCACTCACCGCTCCGAATGTAACGGCCGAACTCGTCAGC